TCCTTCTTGTTCGCAAGCCCGCCCCGACCCTTCCTTCGCGTTCGCGAGGCCGGCCAGAGCTTCCTTCCTCGCCGATCGCGAACCCTAGCCGAGCGGTCCTCCCTCTTCGTCACGAAGCTTCGGCCGAGGTCCCCCCATCCGCGTGCTTCCGTGCTCTGCGGAAGGCTTCAACCTGCTCCCACGCCTCTGCGATTCGCGGCGTCACCTCCTCACGCGAGGTTTGTCGTTTCTCTTGGCTCGGCTCACCGCCCAGGTGAGCGATGGTGTTCCTCCTTCTCCCTCTCTTGCTATAAAAACCTCACTTCAGGAGGATCTGGGGGCTGGCCGAAAATTGAGAAAAAAGGGGAAGTGCTGCCAAAATTTCTTATCTTAAAATCTTCTTTGATTTGTTCATCTCGTGTGCTTGAGCCTTTTTGGAAGTGCTGCTGGATTTTTGTGGCTTGTTCGGTTTCTTGCTGGTTCACTCGATACCTTTGCTTGGTTGCTGGTTGCCTGGTTGCTTGCTTGGCCATTGGTATTTTAGGTTGAAGCTTTTATAGAAGAAGGTGTTGTAGAAATTTTTCTGGGTCTATTCTTGCATTTACTTTGGATTTGCGCCGAGAGGTAACTTATTCCCCTCTCTTTTCTCCTCATTTTTAATTCTCATGATGCTTCTTCAGTTTGATTTTATATGAAAAAAACGGTGGATTATAAAAAAAAGAGGGAGAGAAAAGATAAGTTTTGTTTCTTGAGGATTTCATGGAATACATCCTTTTATTTGGAATATTTAAGACGACCGGATTTTCATCATGTTAAAGTCACAGAAGCGTTTGATTGAATCATATGAATTGTGTTTTGTTGGTGTTATCACTCCACATGTACTGTTTGCTTTATTTTAAGTTGAAAAAAAAAAGCCTAGGTTGGTTTGATTTCTTCATGTTTTTGGCAAAGCTCTAGTGACATACTTGATTTGCCTATTTGAGGGTAAACTTTGGAATATTCATTCAATTTTGAAGCACTCCTCGCATGCTAGAGTTTGGCATATAACTCTCTTTCACATGATATATAATTTAGAATTTGAAGCTCTCTTTCTACATTTAAGCTTCAATACATGTGCTCAATTTTTGAAATGCTGCTTATACATCAACATTAGGATTTATATGGCTCTCTAATCTCTTTCTCATGCTCACATGTGATGGATATGGTTAGCTTTGCGAAATATGCA